CATTGTGCTCAACACTGTGGATGTGAAGACACAAATGAAATAGCCTCCACCCCTCAAGGAACTTTCTTTCTATCCCTAGAGGCAGGGCTTGAACCCAGGTCTTCCTAACTGTAAGGCAGGTCCTTTATCCATTATACTTTGACACCTCTCTCAGGTACACTACACTCCTACCTGTCCCAACCCCTGTCCCAAACAACCTTCACCTCCTACTCAATTCCTACTTATCATTTAAAGCCCAACCCAAATGCTACCTCATAGATTCCTTTCTTGCACTTTAATAGTAATGATAATAATAACATTTCCATAGCACTTTACAATTTTAAAAATGCTTTGCAAACATTATCTCTTTTGTTCTTCACAACATGTCTTTGAGGTAGGTACTCTCATTATCCTTTTTTTTTCCCTGTAGGGAGAGGCAGTTGGGGTTAAGTGACTTGTCCAGGGTCATACAATTAGTAAGTGTCTGAGGCAAGATTTGGGTTCAGGTCCTCCTGAATCTAGCCCCCATACTCCATCCACTGAGCCACTTAGCTGCCCACCTATCATTATCCTTTTACAGATGAGGAAACTGAATCTCAGCTTACAGGACTTGCCCACAGTCATACACAAGTAAATATGTGGGATTCACACTCAGCTCTCATTTCCCTCAAGTCCAATTTCCCCAAATGACATACCTTTTTGTAATTCATTTATGCTTTATTGTGTATTGTGGTTATCATATCCTTCTATTATATTGTAAACTCTAGAGAGGCAACAGCTGAGTCTCATCTAAACCTTAACACCTAGATGCTGTGAACACTGTATTGGTTTAGTGAGTGTTTGCTGAATTGAATTGTTTATCGCCCTTGCTTCTTTTCTCTCTCCAAAGCAATTTCCCAATGACTTTGAGAGGAGGTGGGGGCTGCTTCAGAGAGCTGGGGTTTCTGGGGATCCTTTTGAAAGAACAGAACCTATTGATCTATCCTCATTTCCTGGTGAAAGTGACAAACCCCAATTCCCTCAACACCCAATGATGGACAGCACCAGGAGGAAAGTTCTGCTCAGAACTAAGATGGGGTGGGATTAATCGGCTTCTCTGAACACTGATTATCATCAGCACTTCCCCAGAAATGAGCATGTTCTTGGTGTCAAGGCAAAGGCTGTCTTAGAAAGGGAAGGAGGCATGAAGGTTAGGCACATTCAGGGGAAAGTAGATTGTCAATGCATCACCTTCACCCATTGGGCTTCACCAAGACCTATCTGTATTGGAGGATGATAAGATGGACTGAAGTGACTCATGCTTGGGCCCTGGGTTTTGCTTGATAACACTGAGTTCAGTTTAATGAGTAATTCAAACCCACAAAGAAGACTTGTGTTTCTTTAAATGACTTTGCTGGTTTCAAAATGAAGACTCAAATTACCTGGCCTCTCCCTGAAAAGTACACTACCCAGTCCTGCCTAATCCAGCATAAGAATGGCAATGTTGGAAGGGACACTAGAGATCCTCTATTCCATCCTCTACAATCCACATGACCTCTCCTCCCCCCACTGATTCTAGAGCTAGGGAAACTAGGACCCTGAGAATAAATTAATCTGTCCAATATCAATCAGTTACTAAGTGGCATAGCCAGGATTTTAATGGAGGCTTTCTGACTTCAAACCCAGATGTCCTCATAGCATCCCTTTCAATAGGGGGAAAGGAAGCATCTACAATATGCTAGGCACTGTGCCAAGTACTACTACTTCTTCTTCTTCTTCTTCTTCTTCTTCTTCTTCTTCTTCTTCTTCTTCTTCTTCTTCTTCTTCTTCTTCCCTTTTCTCCTCCTCTTCCTTGTCCTTTTCCTCCTCCTCCTTCTTCTTTTAAACAAATATTATCTCATTTGATAATAGCAGTTGAATCAGATAATAGAACAGAAGTGGACCCAAGCTAAGCTTTAGCTCATCTTTCTATATGGAAAGAGCATTATCTTCAAAGGACTTCTGGGTATGTTCTCTTGAGTGGAATAATGGTTTTAAAGTTCTCATAATTCATATTATTTTGGAAGTGGAGGATGGGAAACCCCCAGATTCTCTCTTTGGAATTTCCATCAAGTCTTCTTGATGATCTGAAAGATCCTCACACCCCTAGCTGGGATTTTTTCCCCATTTCTATGGAAGTCCTCTTATAGGTATATAGAGCTTTAAGGTTTGTAAAGTGCTTCACATATGTCATCCCATTTTATCCTCACAGTCCTCAAGGCTGTCTGGGAGATGTAAATATGAGGTAGGGGCATCTCTTCACCCAGACGTGAAATTTCAGGTTGATTGTCTATCTAGGCATAATACATGGGGAGATTGATTATCTAGCTGCCACTTCCTGGCTTCCTGGTACAAAAGCTAAGAAGGGAGTGGGAGGGAATAAGCATTGCTATGATTCCTTCTATGTGCCAGGCACTGTGATGTATTGTTGTTGTTGTTGTTTTTACAAATATTATCTCATTTGATCCTCATTTGATCAACTTTGGGAGGTGGGTGCTATTAATATCCCTGTTTTACAGGTGAGGAAACTAAGGCTAAGAGGTTAAGTGACTGGCCCAGGATCACACAGCTAGCTAAGTATCTGTAGCAGGTGAACTGAGACTCTGTTGCCTCGTTTGTAAAATGGGGATGACAGGAGGTTGGAAGGTATGATCTCTAAAGCCCTTTTCATCTCTTAATCGAAGACCTTACAATCCTATGAATTCTCAACAACCCCACAAGGGAGGCAGGGTAGGTCTTTGACCATCAGCCTATCTTACAAATGGTGAAATTGAGGCCCAGAGGGAGAATTGATCGGTCTAAGGTCATGTGGCTATTTGGCAGTGAAGTCAGAATTAGAACTCAAGTCTTCCCTTTTCCCTTTTTTTTTTTTGGCAGAGGGAGGCAACTGGGGCTAAGTGACTTGCCCAAGGTCACATAGCTAGTAAGTGTCAAGTGTCTGAGGCATGATTTGAACTCAGGTCCTCCTGACTCCAGGGCCGGTGCTCTATCCATTGCACTAACTAGTTGCCCCTGAGTCTTTTTGACTCCCTATTTAGGATTCCTTCTTCTGTACAATAAATCCTCTCTAAAAAGTAAATAAGTTAGGTTTCAGCCCTTAGATAACTGAGGGAAGTTTTTCTCCCCACACACAAGCTTTGAGAAAGAGTTTTATACTTTTCATGCCCAGGCAACAGGGGAAACCAAGCCCATACACAGCCCAGGTAAAGGTCTCTCCCCCTCACTCTAAACTTAGAGGTGGTTTAAGGCAGAATAAAAGCAGAGGGTGGTGTGGCCTACAGTTCTGGGTAAAATATTTGATGCATAGAACAATTGTTGAGAAAAATCCTGAAACAATAACAGTTTGGGGCTATAATAGGAAATGTAGACATTTCCCCTAACTCCTTTCTACTGATCCCTAAAATAGTTGAGTGGTGTGTGTGTGGGAGTGGATTGCAATCCCAGCAAACCCTGGTACTAAGGTCTGTGGCAGAGCTGAGCTCTCTAACCCTTTAGTGTAACCTGCTCTCTAGGGAGAACACCTGACATCATGGGAGTCCCTCTACAGGGATTCTTAACCTGGGGTCCAGGAAATTGTTTTTTTTTTTTAAATATTTTGATAAATATGTTCCAATGTTACTGGTTTCTACTTTAATGCTACGTATTTTATTTTATGCATTTAAACACATTATTCTCAGATGAGATCTATTATAATCTTCTCCAGCCTGCCAAGGGGTCTATGACATATACAAAAAAATATTAAAAAACCTGGACTTATAAAAAGGCATGTCTGGTCTCTGGAGGAGGGTCACCAGTTTCCTCAGGTCTGACTTTCTTCTGGCCTGGCAGTTTTGTGGTTAGTGACAAGTTGGCTCTGCAGAGTGAAAAGGAATGGTCTGGGACCCCCTTCTAGCCCAGGCTAAAGCTAAACCAGAGCTACCTGGCACTGTCACCCTCTGTCAAGGCCAAATCTGGTACTGTCTCATGGTATAAGCAGAATGCTCTGGTTCAGCTTTGCCCCTTCCTGCCTAAACAACCCCAGAAGCAGATGTTCAGGGCCAGAATTTTGGCCAATTAAAGACAGACAGGACCCAGAGATGCTCCCATCAACAAATTCTGCTTCTCATTCTCCGTCTGGACTCTCAGGGCTTTGAACACCTGTATCGTCAATGACTTTAATTTTTTTTTTTTTGAGTAGGCAAACTAGGTCATCTTCTGCTTCATTTCTCACTTAGACTTAAATCACTGAACGGGTGTTGACTCAGATAAACTGCAAACTTGAAAAGTCCTTAGCTTAAAAAGGTCAAGGTTTCCCAGTGAATCTGGGGTCATTGCCATTGGACTCAGATGAACTGGAGGAGACAGTGAGTCTGATGACTTTGCGCAGTCCTGCCTCACTTAAATCCAGTTCATTTGCAAGTCAAGATGTCACCCTCTTGATGTCATTGGGACTCTTCGAGGGTCAATGACAACAACACCAGTAGCTAACATTTGTATAGCCTCTTCCAGGTTTACAACGCACTTTCCTCATAAGAATCTTATAAAATCGGTAGTGTGAATGTGATCATCCATTTTACAAAGGTGAAGGGACTTGCTTGTGGTCACAAATCTGATAAATATTATAATTGGGATCTCCACCTGTGAACCTATTGCTTCCTTCTAATGAGAAACTCAATTTTTCCACATCACTCGTTATGCGGAAGGTGCCAAAATCTTGCTAAACTGCACTTATACTTTCAGGATACCCTTTTCTACTTACTAGAGTGTAAAATCAATGAGAATAGAGACCATATCTTATCTGAACTTTATCGTTCCCTAGTACAGAACACAGTGCTCTCTCTACATGGTAGGTGCTTAATAAATGTTCAAATTGAGTTGGAATAAGAACTCCATAAATACTTATTAATATTAATAAAAATAATAATAGCTGATATTTACAAAATATTTTAAAATTTGTAAAAGGCATTGCATACATTATCTCATTTCAAACCCACATCAACCTTGTGAGGTAAGTACAACAGGCATTATTGCTCCCATTTTACAGATTAGAAAATTGAGGCCAACAGAAGTTAAGTATCAGGCTAGTCAACAGAGTAGGATACAACATAAGTAGGATTCAAGTTGATTGTCTCTTTGCTCTGAGCTGTAACGGTTTGAAAGGATCAGGTGAGAAAAACCCCTCAGAGAGAGACCTTTTATGCTGGCTTCTCCTTTTGGTCACTTCTCCTCTTCCCCAAGCCCCACAGGGATTTTCCTCCCAGTCATGAGCACTGACTGTCCCTGAGATCAAAGACTAGCTTCCACCCTCTCTGTCCCTAGTGGAAACTGTCCCTCTCTATCCCCAAGCTAAACCTCTGAGGACAGAAACTCTTCTCTAAAGCCATCTCCCCAGTGCAGCCCTGTCCATACTCCTTCTTCTTCCTTCCCCTCAGGCCCAAATCAGAGGTGACTTTAGGCAAAGGCACCTCACTACAGAGCTTCCCAAACCCTTTGCTTTACACGATCGAGCAGCCATTTTAAAGGGGGTTTTGGTGGCACAAGGAGCCATTCTTGCTCTGCTCCCCTCAGTCCTTGCTAGGTCCCCAAGATCCCTGGCTCTGACAGTAGGCCCAGGGACATGTCAGTTAACACGTTGTTGTACTCTCCTCACCCTCCCAGACCGTGCCCACCAGAGCATCTCCACATGTCAGGGCTGATCATGGACCAGCCATCTCTAAGGCAGATGAGGTAGTTCCTGATTGTGCAGAAGAGTGAGCTTATATTACTGTTTGTCTGCTGCCCCCAGCACTGTGCCCTTGGGCCCCCTCCATTCTGGTACTACACCAACTGTAGTGTTTGGGGCTGAGTGAAACTCTGCTATTATTCAGGAGCAACCCAAATCACTCACTGGTGTGTAAACTGGAGATCAAAGGCAGAGTTATGGGATCTGTATTCAAGATCCCGGGGGGAGTGGGAGCTGTGGGGAGGTACGGGAGAGGGAAGTCAGGTGTGTTGCTCCATTCACATGTTGTCAGTTCAGCAGTGTTGACCAAATTCAGGAGGCTCCACTCCTCTGTTGGCTCGATCCACTGCCCACGCGAAGCCCCTAAGACCCCAAGGCCCTGCTTTAGATAGCCCTTAGTCTGGGCCAGTGGGGGCCAGCCTGACTCCACATCCCTCTCCATCCTGCATTTGTATTCTGGGCTGCCTTCGGGGGAAGAGTCCTCCCCTAGGCTAGAGGCCCCTTCCTGGTTTCCATCTGTGCATCTGGACTGCTGAAGGTAGCCTTGGAAGACCACAATGGCTGCAGCCTCTTCCTCAGGAAGCTTGGGAGTGGAGCTCCTACCTTCCAGAGCTGTGGAGGCCCTCTTGTGCCGAAGGCCCTCAGAGGAGCCCAGTGGAGTTGCTGTGGAGCTCTGGGGTAGACCAATGCCACTGTCTTCTCGGTCCTGGTCACTGCTCCCCGGCTGCTGCCTCCATTCCTGTCCTGACTGTGGGCTCAGGTTGTGCAGATAAATTCCACTGTCCGTGCTGGCGTTGCTGGAGCTGCTGGAGCTGCTGGTGCCCGAGCTGCTCTTTGGCTGCTGAGGGCCACCGCCTCCCTGGGGCCCACCTGTCATGGGGTCCAGGACTGGGAGGAGGAACTGAGGATCCTCGCTCTGCAGTGACTGTTTGGTGCTGCTGAAGCCACTGTCCGTGCTACTATGGAGCTCTGAGTTCTTTAGCTCTAGGGATACCTTGGGGAAGGTCGCCTCATCAAGGGGGTGGATGGTATCTGGTTTCACTTTGTAGTTCTCTTTGCTCAGGATGCCACAGGATTTTTGTTTGGCAAGGGAGGCCTAGGGAGGAATAGCACAGTAAAAGGTTAGGAGGAAGTCAAACAAGAAGGAAAAATTTTCTTCCAGCTGATCTGCAAGACAGCTAATCTTCACACAAGTTGTATCTAAAAGTGGACTGGATTTGGCTTACTGAAGAGCAATCTCAGCCCATTTTTCATTTTTCTAATCAACATAGGAAAAAGAACCCAGGATCTGGAGTCAGAAAACCCAGGCTGAAACTTCATAGCTGTGAAACTTCGACAAATTACTTAGTTTCTCTAGGTCTCTGTTTCCTCATCTGAAAGATGAGGGGGTGGGACTGGCTGATCTCTAAGGGTCCTTTCAATTTGAAATTCTATGAAAGGCATTAGAAAGAAGAAATAGGTCTACACTGTAACAAGAGGCAATTACATTAAACCCAAAATAGAACTTTTCTAATCTTCTAAGTGTGTTTTGAACACGCCTACCTAGAATGTCAGACCTGGCAGGAACCTTAGTGGAAAAGCTGAGATTTGCACCTGGGTCTCTGGATTCAAAGTCCCTTCCCCTTGCCTCTGATATCATGCTACCCCACTGGCATTCACTAACCTCTACCACTGAGTGCTATTCAATTCACCCTCACTCAGGGGGAAGAAGCTCTAGCAGTCTGGGGCACACACACTAGGTTCATCATCTCATTTCCTTCCTCTTGGTTCCTTTGTTGAGAAGAAACTAGTTTTTCTCCTTAAATAATTTCCAATCTCTCCTTTTCATCTCCTGGCCAGAGTAAGGATGTGACTTTCCCCTTAACAACCCCACATCATCTCTTGAAGTCCCTCCTATTTCTGAGTCTATGGAATCCCCCTCCCAGCCTGCTTGCTTCATAGGAAGCATTGTTTCCCTTCGACGACTTTTTAGCCATTAAAAGTCCGTAAGACTCTTGGGAGGCAACATATCTTAGTGGAGAATGGGATCTACTAGGGAATAGGGATTATTTCATTCTTTGTAATGGTATCCCCAGTGCCTGGCACATGGTAGGCATTTAATAAAAACTTGTTAAGATTGATTGAGAGCTGGCCTTGAAGTAAGGAAAACTTGGGTTCAGATGGGGTCTCTAATATGAACTGGGTATAACCTTGGGCAATTCTCAGTATCTTAGGCAATTCTTTAAGACAATAAATTGCAGAACAACTGGTGACCTGCATTAGTAGAGGGACCAGGAGTGCCAAACTATTGACATTGTAGGTCAGGACAAAAATGAACAACCCCCCCCCCAAAAAAAAAAAACCCAACCCCAAAGTCAGCCAGTCACAGTGAAACCAGGTAACGAGGTTGGAGCAGCCATTCTCTGATGTTAACCAAGGCACAGAAAAGGGCCAGAGTTCCTCATATTCACAGATGTTGCTTAACTCTCAAAAGCTGAACTTCAATAAAAACGCAATTCAAAATATAATCTCAGCATCTTCTCAGTACTTTGGGGTATGATGACATTTTTAAATGCTATTTAGTAAACCCTCTCTCTTCCTCATGGCTCTTCCTCATTTCCCACCCACTTCAACCCTTGCCTTCCGTTGAAACAAAAAGACTCGTCTTTTAAGATTTCTGTTTTCTAACTGTCTTGGAAGCCTAGAGACTAGATAGCTTAAGTAACCTTGAATTCTCCCAAGTTTGTTGGCAGCTCTGGAACGGCCAGGAGAAAGAGGCCAGTGCAGTTGTCCTCACTGGGGGTCAAAATATCAGTAGTAGGATCTTACTTACCAGGACTTCAGGTGGCTTCTTGGGTTTTCTTATGTAGCGTCGAATACTCAGGTAGCCAACAGCAAGGCAGACTGTCAGAAGGGAGGCAAAGAAGGCACTGATGGTTGTCACTGTGAGATCTAAAGCAAGGCCCAGACAGGTTAATTCTCTTGGAGGGCTAGGGAGACTTCATAGAAACTACTGGCACTTTGGGGCTTTGTGGAGCAACTGTCACACAGTACTGATCCTATGCCATGGTGCCTTCTTCTTCCAGATATGTCTCTGTTTGCTATGGCCCCTCTCTTGCCTCTAAATTCATCTTTGCCAAGAAGTCTTTCTTGCTTAATCCAACCAGATTTGATCACTCTATTACTGTGCTTTCTTAGAGTACTCTAAGCATAAAAGCTGCATTATTATAATTGGTCCGTGCTTGGGGAACCATGTCTCCTAATTTTTTTGTGCTCTTCACTCCACATCCCCAGACTTCCCAATGCTTAAATCAAGGGGAAATGAGTCCTAATGAGTCACCTGTTGGTGACTTCTTCAGAGTGCAAGCAGGTGGCACAGGAGATAGAGTTCTAGACCTGGAGTCAGGAAGCTATAAGTTCAAATCCAGCCTCAAATACTTACTAGCTGTCCGTTTCTGAGCAAGCCATTTAATCTCAGCCTGCCTCAGTTTCCTCAACTGTAAAATGGGGATGTTAATAGCACTTATTTCCCAGGGTGACTGAGGATAAAAATGAGATACTATTTGTAAAGTGTTTTGTGAACCTTAAAGCACCATGTTATTATTCTAGTTATTATTATTATTATTATTATTATATATTATTATTATTATTATTGTTCTTTGCTGACCTCAGAGCCCTATGTATTTGCACCACATTGCTCATTAGACACTTAGCTTGCATTGTCATTTATCTCCTCTTGTGGCTATGTCTTGTCCTCCCAATAGACTGTAAGTCTGTTGAGGGAAAGGGATAGCCTGCATATCTTGTATCCCAGATAGCACCCCCCTATGCCAGAGTGCCTGTCACATAGCAAGGAGACACAATACATAATGGTTGGTTAGTTGACTAGTTGATGCCATCTTAGTGGGGCTTTATCATAGTTCTGATAATAGAGACAGTGCAACCCTATGGAGGGAAGGACAGCAAGGAAGAATAGGGTTTAGTAGAGGACACAGTGGAAATAGATGGATTTTTTGAAAAAGGCCAGTTTTGTTTCTTTGAGCCTACATGATATCAATCTATGAGCATTGACTAACATTTAGCCAGGCATTGTGCAAGGTGCTGGGGATAGATATAAAGCTAAAAATGAAAGAGTGCCTGCTCTCAGGGAGCTTCCAGTCCACTGAGGGAAATAACATGAAGACATCTAAATATGTGCAAAATAGGTATCAGGTAACTTTTTTTTTTGGGCGGGGGGGGACAACAAAGCAGGTAGGAGGAATTGAAAAGCTAGAGAAAAGCCTTATGTGTTTTTGTTGTTTACCCATGTGTGACTCTTGGTGACCCCATTTGGGGTTTTCTTGGCAAAGACATTGAAGAGGTTTGCCATTTCCTTCTCCAGCTTATTTTACAGATGAGGAAACTGAGGTAAGCAGGGTTAAGTGACTTGCACAGGGTCACACAGCTGAGGCCAGATTGAAACTCAGAAGGATGTGTCTTCCTGACTCCAGGCCTGGTACTCTATCTACTGTGCTACTTAGTGGCCTTATGTAGATGGTGGCATTTGAGCTGCTCTTTGAAGGAAAATCTGGATTGGGGGGCAGGAGGGAGTGTATTTTAGGCATGGAATAGAGCCTATGGAAAGGAAACCTGAGATGGGAGATAGAACAGAACCTTGCAAGAAAAATAAGAAGGCCTGTCTGGCTGCACGTTAAAGTTTGTAAAAGGAAATCATGGGCAATGAGTCTAAAAACAGCTCTGCGCCAGGGAAGGGAATGCTCAGACTAAGGGAAGTGAGTTGGCTAAAGTCACAGAGAAATTAAGTGGCAGTACTGGGATTAAATCTGAGGTCTTCCAACTTCCAATCCAGTGTCCTTTACACTACATGAGGTTGTGTCCTGTGGTATAAATGGGCTGCTATTTTCTATTTGCACTAGGGACATTTGAGGACAGCTAGGTGGTGCAGTAGTTAGAGTGCTGGGCCTGGAGTCAGGAAAACCTAAGTTAAAATAGGTCCTCAGACACTTCCTTAGCTGTGTGACCCTGGGCAAGTCACTTAACCCTGTTTGCCTCAGTTTCCTCATCTGTAAATGAACTGGGGCTAAATAGAGGAACTTGCATTTGACCTCAAAGGGAATAGGGAATTTATTGAACAGGGGACTGACATGCTCAGACTCCTGCTTCTGAAATCACCTTGTGACCTAGGTGGAAGATAGACTGGAGTGGGGAGAATCCTAGCTCTCCTCTTCCCACTCCAGTATGGTTGGAGTCCTTCCCCAGCATCTTCCCTACCCTCTTGAGTCTGAGACCTGACCTTCACTTACATGGCTGAGTTATAGTGATGCACTTCGACTCTGACCACAGTCCCTTGTTAGTCTGGGACCTGATGACAGGTTTCACTCTGATGCAGACCAGCTTTCCTTCGGTGACCAAGATGTTAAATTCTTCACCTTTTATCTTTCTGAAAATCTGGATGGGCTAAAAGAAACACTGGTTAGCTACAGGATTGGGGACAATCTTTTGTTCTAGGCTGGCTTCCAACTAATCAATAAAGCCCTGTGCTTCTATGACGACTGTGACTTTAGGATCTATGGAGCAGTGAGGCGGATGAGTGCAGGTATTACAGCACTCAATTTCTGGTACTACTTTTCTGTGACACTGGGTGAGTCACTTAGTTTCTGTAAAGAAGCTGGATCAGATGACCTGCAGAATCTCTTCCTGCTCTAAATCTGTAGTGTTGGGATGATAAGAGGAAAGATAGCACTAGAATCAGATTCGGAGACCCCTCCAGAAGGTCAGGTCTTTGGTGCCATGGATCAGTCACTACTGATCCCTTTCTTCAATGACCCTAACCTTCTCCTCTACCCTAAGCCACAAATAAAAAAGCACTGACGGGCAGGGACCAGCTCCCCACCTTCAGCTGACATTCCCCACCCCGGGCCACTGGACAAATGATCTGTTTGTTACTCTTGCTGGTGTTTTGTCCCACAATGAATTTTTTAAGACAGGGTTATGTCTATAGGCTATAGCCATGCCTCTGGAATAGCACCCCTACCTCCATTCTTTGGATTCCCCTTTCCTTATGATTTTCTGACTCCATGGTGATGGAAAGATCATATTCCCGGTAGTGTTTGAAGAGGCTTTCATAGGAAATATTTCCAATGGCCCCTGGGGGCCTAGCAGGCAGGATTTTCCCCAGGATAGTGTTGCCACTCAACTGTAGCTTCAGCTGGTCTATCCTAAGAATTACTGGAATCAAGAGGCAGAATCACAGCATCATTAGGCTACAAAGGTCCTTACAAATTCACGGAGTCCCCCTAACCCTTTCTTTTCTGGAATAACTAGCCCCCATTCCTGTCTCAAACATTGAATTATTTTTGCATGATTTTGATGAGCTTTCTCTGAAAGACAGCTAAGACCCTTCTACCCCACTGTTCTTCTTGGCTAGGGTTTGGGAAAGGTTTGAGAGCATGGATCAAAGAAGAGCTCTAAATCTGGGCTCCTGGTGGGAATGTATTTAGGCCAAGGGTAAGAAAAGTACCATCATCTTTAGAGAGTCGAGTATCCGTTCTGGTCCAGTTAGACATCTGGTGACCACCAACAGCCCTTACACGGGCATAGTAGCTCTTTTCATCAAGGTCTAGGGTTGGCAGGGTCAGATCACAGGAGAGATGTGGGGTCCTGTTGCAGTGGGGGACAGGATTCCAGGATTCCCCATACCTAGGGAGGAAATATTAAAGGTCTCTCAAGAGGAAGCATGGGTTTTGGGCCAAAGCAGGAACCTAGAACTCCTAGCCCCTTTCTCTTTTTCTTTCTCTCTTGGAGGGTTCTCCGTTAGCCCTGGTTCACCCTCTTTGGGATCTCCCTCTGTGGTTTCCCTCCCAGTCTTTCTGACTCCCAAGCCCCACGTCTCCTCCCCCACACTATGAACTCCCTGTGAGGAGGGAGTTCTCCCTCAACTGGGCCTCCTCCCAACAACGGGATTCCCCCCAGAGTTGTCTCTGCCCTCCACCCCTAGACACTTTCCTTCAGTCTGGGGCTCCCCATCTGTAGTGTCTCTCTTGGAGTCGCTGATCAGCCAGCCAAGTTCTACTTGTCCAATTCAATTCAATTTAGTAAACATTTATTAAGCACCCATTATGTGTCAGGCACTGTGCTAAGCACTGGAGATACAAAAAGAAGCAAAACACATTCTCTCCCTGCCCTCAAGGAGCTTACAATCTAATGATTACTGTATCTCACAGTAATCTCCTTCTCTGAACCCTCATAGGGTGGCTTCCAGATTCTAATGATACAATCAACTGACTGATCCATCAATAAACAAACATTTATTAAACTCCTATTATGTGCCAAGCACTGGGCTTTGCAGAACTTAAGGCCCTCTATCAATGTCAGTCCTCCTAATCATTACCTGAGTGTCTATTGTGTAGTCAGTGTTGGCCACTTAGCACGTGCTTGCCTCACCCTGTGTCATGGGTTTTTGACTTGGCTCTTCCATGATGCCATAAAGGCTTTGGTGGCATGGGGCTTATCTTAAGGATCCTCCAACACAGCCCCAGTGCTAGGTATCTGATGGATTCAAGAGCTACCCTTTGAATGGTGCCACGGACAGCATTTCTAGGGCACCCCTTAAGGTCCATCGTGGGCTCACAAGGTTAGAGTTGGAAGGGTCTTTAGAGGCCATCTGGTCCAACCAGGGATAAAGTACAGGACCTGAGTCAGGAAGACCTCAGTTCAAATCCAGCCCCAGATACTCACTAGCTGTGTGACCCTGGGTAAGTCACTAAACCTCTCAGTTTCCACAGCAGCAAAATGAACATAATAATAGCACCTATCTCCCAGGGTTGTTGCAAAGATCAAATGAGATAATGTTTATAAGGCATGCTTAATAAATGCCTTTCCTCTCCCCCCCCTCCCATTTTGCAGTTCAGGAAACTGAGGCTTAGAGTGGTGAAGTGACTTGACTGAGGTCACACAGCTATTAAGGGTCAGTACCAGTATTTAGAACCCAGGTCCTTTGACTGAATGTGGAGCACCCTGATCTCTGTGCCATGTTGCTTCTCTACAAAATTCTTTCCTTACACCAACTCCGGGGGTTAAAGCAAGTAATATTATCCCCATCTTCATGATAGGGAAACTGAGGCACAAAGCAATCACTTGGCCTGTACAAAGTCATCTGACTAGTAAACAGTGGAAGCAGAATTTAAACCCAGGACTCACTTCTGGTCCAGAGCTCTTTCTACTCTGTGACACTGCCCATTCTATATGCCTAGTCTCACTTAATAAGTAGGTGTCCTATGCGTCTGTCTGGGGATGTTATGACAAAAAGGGATGGAATAGGGGCCCAGATGATCTGATTACTCCCACTTTCAACCCACCCATGTCTTACCTCATGTACTGGACTTCATAGGAGATGTTATGGGTCTGATTCTGGCCTGGTTCCCAGTGGAGAATATGGTGGAAAATGATGGCTTTAAACCGGACATTTTTGGGACTAGGCAGCTGTGTCTCATTGGGAGAGGAAGGGGCAGGCAACTCAGGCACGGATGTGGTCCAGAGAGTCTCCCCAGAAGCAGCAGCACCTTTGGATTAGAAAGACAGAGATGCAGACCAATATTTCACAGACAAGGAGGTGGTATCCCTGGTGAAACAGGGAAGCAGGCCTTTGACCACTCAAGGGATGTTGTCCTCCTACTGTGCACACACCCCTGCGGCTTAGTCCTCTGAGGGTTATGGTATTTTAGAGCTAGAAGGGATTTTAGACATTGTGCAGTCCAGCTCCCTCACTAAGAAATGAGGGAATGATCAGAGCAGAGGAATGTGAGTTGGCTAACATCGCAGAAAAATTAAGTGGCAGTACTGGGATTTAATCGAAGGGCTTCCAACTCTCAATCCAGTGTCCTTTATATTACACCAGGCTATCTCCTGTGGTACAAGTGGGCTGCTATTTTCTATTTGCACTGGGAACACATTAGGGCAGCTAGGTGGTGCAGTGAATAGAGCACTGGGCCTGGAGTCGGGAAGACTCATATTCATGAGTTAAAATGGGGCCATAGGCATTTTCTAGCTGTGGGACTCAAGTCACTTAACCCTGTTTGCCTCAGTTTCCTCATCTGTAAGATGAACTGGAGAAAAAAATGGCAAAACACTCCAGCATCTTTGCCAAGAAAACCCCAAATGAGGTCATGATGTGTCATTTAAAAAGGTTTAAGAAACAGTTTCTGGGTAATTTAATCATTTTTTAAATAAGGTCAGCAGGTTATTAGTAAAAGGATGGTCATTTGGCCATCTCTCTCAGACCAAAGACAACCACGGTGGCAGGCCAACAATTTATATACCCTTGCAAGCAATGAGGGGTCGCTACTGACATCATGTCACCCTTGGACAGAGAAATTGTCTTTCCTCAGACCACCACAGCCTTGGGCTATTTAGACAAAAGGATCTATCTTCATCCAAGCTTGAGTAGAACACAATGAGCTTCCCCACTTTAGATTAAATTCCTAGGAAGGTTGGGTGGGCTCTGACCAAGATCCGGAGATTTAATGCAATCTAATTATCAATAATGTCTTTAAAAACATTGAACTTAAAGTCAGGACTTTGGAAGAAGGGAGGGCTCTGAATCTCACCAAGATATTGGCTATTAATAATTATTTCTTTCAATGAACAGTCAGATATGACTGAAAATGATTGGACGAAACTGGAGACACCTTAGAGAAAATTCAGATTTGGCATTAGAAATAACTTCCTCCCTGGAATATAAGACAAGAGAAATGACTGAGTCATTTTTCCCCAGAGATTTCTGAAGAATGAACCACAAAGATGATTTCCTGAGAAGGCCTGGGAGCAAATGTGTGGACAAGGCGGTAATTCCAGGTCTTTCTGAACCTTATTAGCTTGTGAGATGTTAAGGAATGTTAAAGGGTCCCCTGAACTTTTCTCTTTGAGTTGCCATATTTTCTAGAAACACTGGACCCAGAGTATGCAGGAGGCCGTGACTGAATCAAAGATGAAGCCCCTCCCCTTTCTCTGGAGCTGACATAAATTGTTGTTTGCATCCCAAGCTGGATTCTCTGTCTGTCCTCGGCTGTCAAGACAGGCGCCAGTCATTCTGCACTAGGCTGAGAAGCCACTTGTGCAGCTGGGACCCTTGTAGATATGCAGACCATCCTATCCTCATGGTGTAACAGTTCCCAAGGGAAAAGAATGCCACTTTTGCCGTGGCCCTGTTCCTCCCCTTCAGGAGGGGTTTTGTCCTTTTCCTACCTTTTCTGCACCTTTCCCCCTCCCATGGCAAGCCCCTTTAGGTGGAGATTCCTGGTACCTCCTCCCTCCTTTGTCCTGCTGTTATAAAAATGCAGACTTCTATATGGATTGTGAACTCTTTGGGTCCCACACGCAGGTTCATTTCTCTTGTAAAAAGCCTAGTTTTCGTATAAGTTTTGTGAAGCTGATTGCCTGTTGACAGAGAGTACCTAATACAAGATTCCTTTGAAATGATTCTCTGCAGGAAGAGAAAATGATGATAGGCACTACATGCTTTAGAAACCGTCTAATTCAAGGCTTCTTAACCTGGGGTGTGAGAACTTAAAAGTTTCTTTCAAAAATACATTTTGGTAGCTATTTTAAAATAATTTGTTTCCTTTGTAATCCTATGTAGTTCATTTTATGCATTTAAATCTGAGTGTCCATGACACCAAAAATAGGAAGAACCTCTGATTTAGTCTAACTTCTTCATTTTACAGATGAGGAAACTGAGGCCCAGAAGAGTTAGGTGATTTGCCCAGTGGTAGCTAGGAAGAGTCAAAGCTGGGTTTTGGACATTGGCCCCTTTATTTCCCTCCCCCTCTACTATATCATGTGACTTCATACAGAATTCATACTAAATTAATTCACAGTTATTTTCTCTTTTATGTTTTTTGGGGGTGTGTGGCAATTGGGGTTAAGTGACTTGCCCAGGGTCACACAGCTAGTGAGTATCATGTGTCTGAGGCAGGTTTTGAACTCAGGTCCTTCTGCCTCCAGAGCTGGTGCTCTATCCACTGCACCACCCAGCTGCCCCTCACAGTTAACTTTCTCATTAGTGTTCCTGTTGGTCAGTCATTTCTCAGACGTGTCTGACACTTTGTGACCCTATTTGGAATTTTCTTGGCAAAGAAACTGGAGTGGTTTGCCATTTCCTTCTCCAGAAGATTAAGGCAAACAGGGGTAAGTGACTTGCCTAGGGTAACAGGGCTAGGAAGTGTCTGAGGCCAGATTTGAACTCTAGGCCCAGAACTCTCTCCATTGTACCCCCTAGCTTCCCTCTGTTTTCTTGCTGTCTCCTTTTTCCTATATTAGCCTGGGAGCCCCTTACTGACAGGACCCAGTATCTCTTTCCAACATTCTATGGAAGGTTCTGCCCACTGGGGGAACTTATAATCACAAAATTTCAGCTGGAAGGGCTCTCTGGGGCCATCTAGTCCAACCCCTGGCTGAACAAGCACTCCTACTAAAACACACCCAAGAAGCAGTCATTCAGCTTCCACCTAAAGAACTCCAGCAATGGGGAGCTCACTACCTTCCAAGACAGCATAGGACACTTTTGGACACCTCTAATATTGAAGTTTTTCCTGACATGGAGCCTGAACCTTCTATGCAACCTGTACCCTACTGGGCCTAGTTTTGCCTCTGGGTCCAAAAAAAGCAAGTCTCACTCTTCTTTCTATGATGGCCTTTCTATGATGGCTTTTGAAGACTACTGTTATTCGCCCTCATGAATTTCTCTTCTCCCAACTAAACATCTCTGATTCCTTGGACTAATCCTCATGTGACATGGACATACAGGCTAAATTTACCTATTAGCTTGGATTGATTTGGAAAAGTTTGCACAATAAGCAAACCTTATTGGCTCTGACCTGGTCTTACTGCTGGATGTGGGGAATAGACCTTTGAGACCTTGTCCTCTTGGAGTCTGGGGTTATATGTGTGCTCCATTCGTGCAGTTGAACATCTGGCATATGCTTTCTGGGCTAGGCACATGGTCTCTAGATCAAGTGTTCTTAGCTTGGGATCCATAAATTTTTAAAAATATATACATTTTGATAACTATTTCAATATAATTAATTTCCTTTGAAACCCTATAAATATTATTTTATGTATTTAAATGTTATTCTAAGAAGGGGTCCATAGGCTTCCTCAGATTTGCCAGAGGGTCCATGGTACAAGGTTAAGAAACCCTGGTATAGACGATTACAAGTTCTGCTTGAACATTCCTTTCACCTCTAATATTTATTTATTTTTCTTTCTTTCTTTCTTTCTTTTTCTTTCTGGTGAGGATCAGGGTTAATTGGCCTGCCTACATTCACACAGGTAGTAAATGTCAAGTGTCTGAGGCTGAATTTGAACTCAGGTCCTTCTGAATCCAAGGCCAAAGCTCTATCCACTGTGCCACTTAGCGGCCCCCACCTCTAATAGCTATGATATAATGCAGTAGAACTCTCAGGCTCTTTTTGTTTATTGTAATCTTTTTTGTTTGTTTTTGGGTTTTTTTAGGCAATTGGGGTTAAGTGACTTGCCCAGGGTCACACAGCTAGTAAGTGTCAAGTGTTTGGTCTCATGTTGAATTTGACTTCAGGGCCAGTGCTCTATCCACTGCGCCACCTAGCTGCCTCCTACTTATTATAATTTAAAAAAAAAAACTTAAATACAAAATGAGAAAAGAAAAAAAAATTGCCACGTACATAGCAGACCATAAGAGAAGATTCAATATAAAACAACAAATTTCCATTTCAAGAAAATCTATATAACAAATACTACACACTATTTTCAAAGCTGCCCAGCTTTGCTTCCTTGTTGGTTTTCTTTTGTTCTCTGTGTGCATTTTTTGCTTTTTTTTCCTCTTCTCCCCTCACCCCAAGAAGGCTACAGTTAAGCGTGGATATATACACCTATACACTCATACACATATATGTAAGACATCACTATGCTTCTTTCCTCCCATCACCTGTTTCTCTGAAGGTGGGTAGCATCTTCCTTCGTAAGTCCAAGTGTTTCCATGTTTTTCTAAATCAACCCGCTCATTACTTCCTACACCACAGCAGCACTCCAACCCAGTTACATCCTATCTGAGAAATCGTCTATGAAAGTTTTTTCCCTCAATTTTCAGCAATCTTTCTATTCTTGGCTACATAGGTTTTATTTATACAAGAACATTTTAATTTACAAAAATCGAAATTACCCATTTTACACTTTGCTCTCACCTTATACTGCTGAATGTACTTCCTTTATATCTTTTTGCCCTGGTTTCTTTGAAGTTCCTGAACTTTTATTCTTCCAAATTCTTGGTCTCTTCTGAAAATAATTTCTCCCTGTCCTTTTGGGTTTCAGTTTCAGTCTGACAAAATGAGACTGTTTTGTCTGTATCTTCCCCTCTGACAATAAATCCCGTATCTCTTTCTAAATCACTTTGCAATGTCTTTCCCGTTGAGTATCTAGAATATTTGAATCTCTGAATCTTTGACATTAGGGCTCATAACTCCAAGCTGGAATGTTCCTCAGAAGCCTTTATTTTACAGATGAGGAAAACTGAAGTCTAAAAGGTTAAGTGATTTGCCCAAGGTCATGCAGGCAGTAAGAGTAAGAGGCAGGATTTGAACTTCTCTGTCCTCTGATTCCAGACCCAGAATTTTTTTCAGCATGACCACACTGCTTTCATCTCTCAGCATCTCTCTGACAACACCCATCTGTGTGCCTCTCTGGCTCTGCCTCAATCTCACTCACAATATTAGTAAAAGAACCTCAGTCCCTGCCTCCGATTCTTTCTGACACTGTTTTCGATCCTCCAGTCTTTGTGAGTACGAAATGCTAAAACGCCGGGATGAAAACTGACCCCAAACAACCTGTCAATATGGAAGATTTGGTGCCTGATGTTAAACCTGATATTTGGCCAGGGGATCAATTGATAGCATCTAGTAATGCTAGTTGGGGAGAGGGGAAGGCAGTAACATTTGGAACAAAATAAAATACATGAATCTATTTTCATAAAGCTAACTGCTAAACAAAATAAGTATTTTGATACACGTGTTCACTGTTAATGTTTAGAGAGGAAAGAGTCATGAACATTGAAGCCTTCCAAGAGAACCACCTAGGTCACCTCAGGAGACACCAGGATTATATCAGAACAGTGTAGGGAATGATGATCTGGGTAAGTACCGAACTTGTTTGGCTGTTAATGTGGAAATAATCTGCCTTTCTTTGCTCCTCTAAACTTTGTTTATATTCTCTTTTCTTCTCTTAAGGGCTTACATCCAAGTTGGAGAAACTCTGAGGGGCAGGGCAGTGGGTGAGTGTTGGGGAAAGTAAAAGCAACTCATTAACTAAGGCCAAACCTTTATACTGAGGCAATAGTGGGTATGTAGGGGCATAGGGGATTATGAAGAGGTTGGGTCTTATTTAGGGGTAAGCTGGAGGAGGGGAAGAGGAGTCAGCGTCACTTGAGTGAGAAGGGCAGGCTAGACGGACATGAATTGAATGGGGTGGGGGAGGCAGAAATGCATGGGAGTTAACTGAGGTGGGGCAAAGAGGATCTAAGACCCAAGACACTGTTAAAGTTACTGAATTTAGTCTGTCTGAGTCATGCAAATTCCATGAAAGGCACATAAGCAAATCTTTTGAGACTCATAGCCTAAGCAGAGCCGTAGTCAAGGTTGCATGTGGGGGTTCAGCGGAGAGGAAAAGCGGGCATTTTCCTCTACCTGCCGCCTCAAACCAACCTTAACCTTTTCCAGTTCCTGTTGGAATGAAAGAATAAGGATGCTGTATTCAAGGTCCCATTAGGTTCCTCGAAGCTGCTTAGAGGGTTCTTTGGATGGGAATCAGGTCGGGGAAGCCTTCAAGCTCTGTGGTGAGTGTGGACTATGAGCTCCCACTGGGGTGAGAGTGAGGGGTATGGGGCGCTGTGTTTTTTTGGGAGGTGGGGTGGGAAGAAGAGCCCTGTCCAAGGAGCTGGGGGTCAGGGGTGGCTCGCTGGGGCAGCCTTACCCGAGATCTGGAGGCAGGAGAGGAGGAATAGTGAAGCCGTCCATGCTACCACCCAAGGCAGCATCATCCTGGGGCTGACAGCATTGTCTGTTGAGCGCTCCCTGTGTGGACTGTTGCGCCGCAGCCAGTCACTTAAACCTCTTCTTTCTCGGCTCAGCTGAAATTGAGCAAGAGAGGACTGACGTCTGTCCCTGAGGGCGTGGCTTCTCTTCTGCGCTCGTCTTAGCCTTTGGGAGTTGCCTGGCCCCGGGAGGCTTCCCCAGCACCGCGCTTGCTCAGCGAGCTGCAGCTGGACCAGACTCCCGTCCATTCCCAGATGCTGAGACAGCCCTTCGCGAGTTGGGACAATTGCGGGATCTTAACTTTTTAAAATTTTAATTTTTAAGGATACATTTTTACATCTCCTAGATTCTAATTCCACCTCCCTCTCCCCTCCTTGTAATGAAGAATTAAAAAAAAAAAAAGAGGAAAAGGAGCAAAAAAATTCCGCAGCGATCAACATCGAAAATACCTGACGTTATGTGCAATGCTCCAAACCGTGGACCTCCCCTTCCCTTTCACCCCAGCAAAGGAAGGGGATGGAAGGGGGCAGGGCGGGTGTATGTGCGTCTTATCAGATCTCTTCTTCATGGCCAAACTTGTTTTTATACTTTGGCAGCATTTAACCAAACCTCGGACTTCAGAAGACTAAATCCTTACACTTTGGGGGTTGAAGAGGTTGCTAAGGGGTGGGTGGAGGGAGCTGGGATTTGGTCAATAGTGATACGCTGACTTTTCCTGCAGAACAGATTGTCTCTAGGAGGACCTTATCCCAGGGCCTAATCCTACCCTGTCTTTCCTCACTCCCATTTGTTTTCCCTTCAACGGAAAAAAAAAAGTCATAAACAGATCTTGCTCAGTGATGGGGTAAGGGATTGTGTTAATAGTGTAGCTTCGAGAATCAAATGAGATAATATTTGTAAAGTGCAATTAGGGTTAGCACAACGCTTCGCTAATAGTCCGGCTTTTAGTAAATGCTAATTTTATGACCTACCTCTCCCCTTTCCTAAAAAAAAGGGGGAATTGGAGCAGGGCAGAGAAATTTTCTTGCTCAGTAGTGGGGTAGGACATTGTATTAATAGCATAGTGTAGTATAAATTGTATAGTATTATAGCATAGCTAGTAATACAGTGAATTTAAGAACTTAAGAAAATTTTCCAATTACATGTAAAAACAATTTTTATCATTTATTTTTTAAAATTGTGAGTTCCAAATTCTCTCCTCCACACCCTCCCCATTGAGAAAACAAGCAATGTGATATAGGTTACATGTGCAGTTATGCAAAACAGATTTCCATATTAGTCATGTTGTGAAAGAAAACATAGACCCCCCCCTTTCCAAAGTCCAAGAAAAATAAGAAAGTATGCTTCAATATGTATTTAGACTCTATTAATTCTTTCTCTAGAGATAGCATTTTTCATCTTAAGTCCTTTAGAATTGTCTTGGGTCTCTGTATTGCTGAGAATAGCTAAGTCATTTAGGGTTGATAACCGGACAATGTTGCTTTTACTGTGTCAGTGTCCCAGTTCTGCTCATTTTACTTTGCATCAGTTCATGTAAGTCTTTCCAGGTTTTTCTGAAAGCATTCTACTCAGTTGTTTCTTACAGCACAGTAGTATTCCATCACATATCATAATGTGTTCAGCCATTCCCAGTTGATGAGTATCTCCTCAATTTCCAGTTCTTTGTGACCAAAAAAAAGCTGCTAAAATATTTTCTTTACACATATATACATGCCCTTTTCCTTTTTTTTTTAAAGAACTGTTTTTTTATAGATGTTGCCATATCAAGTACTTAAAGCTTCCAAGCTATGTGCAAAGAAGAGCTCTCAAAATATAAATCTAGCCGAGGACATCAACATTATGGGATAATAGGAGCAGGTGTATCTCATTCCCTGTTGTTCTGTCTGCTACTGAAATTGAAGCAAGGATGCTTTCAGTAAGCCTATAGAAGATGAACTTACATCCTAATACTTTTATTCATTCCAAAAGTGGTTATTTTATCCACCTGTGCAATAGTTTGTAGAACATTGAATATAAAATAAAAAAAATAGTAGATTAGTTACTTGTCCCAGGAGTTTTTCTCTGAATCCCACTGAAAAATTTGAGAATGAGGTAATAATGTGATGACAGTAGCTAGCATTTCTGTAGTGGATTTACAAAACACTTTACATACATTATCTCATTTGGTCCTGTTAGTAAACCTCTGAAGAAGATAATATATAATTAATTAAAGTGATCCAAAGCAATTATAGAGGGAGTAAGTGGCTTGTCCAAGGTCATGTAATTAATAACAGATTTTCTGATTCTAAGGGCAGTCTCTCTTGAGTTTTCATGCCATATATGTGGCTTTCTGGACTTCTTAAGCTTCAGCTATCTGGAAATAATGCCCACCCCTCATCCCTCTCTGTCTGGCTCTCTTTTTCTCTATTCCTGAGGCACTGACCAGTCACCAACAGTTTTGGAGGGGCAAGGATTATACAAAAGAAAGAGTAAATCAAAGAGTTTTGCTGGCTCTAAGTGGGGAGGTGGGGAAGGGGGTAACCTTACCTTGAAAGTCACAGTTGACAAGGGAGGATATATGTATGAGTATGTGACTGTGCTGAATAGTTCCCCCCTACTCCTTTCTTTTTTATTCTTCCTTGCAAGGGATGGTTTGCTGGGTAGGAGAGGGGGAAGGTTATATCCAGACATGATAGTAATATGAAAACAAAAGATAGCAATAACTTTTTTGGGGGGGCCTAGGCAATGGGGTTAAGTGACTTGCCAAGGGTCACACAGCTAATAAGTGTTATGTGTCTGAGGCCAGATTTGGAATCAAGTACTCCTGACTCCAGGTCTGGTGCTCTATCCACTGTACCACCTAGCTGCCCCAATAACTTGTTTTTTTAAAGAATAAGTAAAAAAAAAAAGAATAAGTCCCACGTATATGGCCATACATCTGCAAGGATGAATCATGGTATACATGTGCATATATGATGTAAAGGGTTAATTTAACATGAAGATAGAATCATTAGTAATTTGTTAGTTCCCAGGCTGACATTCGCTGTGTGACTTTGTATCTTCTCTGAACCTTGGGGCTCTGATGTCCGTTTTCTCAATTCCTAGGAAGCCTTACAGGACAACTGTGAGAATTAGATAATATGGAATGTATGTAAAGGATAAGAATAGGAAGTGACCTGTGATTTCATTGGCATGGGATTTTTCGGCTACTCTTGGAAGCTTCCTCTATCAATGCAGGGTGACCCCAGAATTCTAGAGGTAGAAGGAATCTCAGAAGTCATCAAGCCCACCACCTCATTTTACAGATAAGGAAACTGAGTCTTGGAGAGATTAAAGTACCTAAGATCACACAGCTAACAGGTGTCTAATTAGCCTATATGTAAAGCACTATATAAATATGAAGGTTTGTGTGTGTGTGTGTGTGTGTGTGTGTGTGTGTGTATGTTCCTCTGCCTTTATTGGTGTGGAGAATGCCTTGTTTGAAAACCTCCTGCCACTGAAGTAGTTTCTTGGTTGCCCAGCGGCACTAAGAGGTCAAGTGATTTGCCCAGGGTTATGCAATTAGTATGTGTGGAGCCCAGGTATTTCTGTCTCCAGGCACTGCCACTTATCTACTGTGCCTCATGAACCTTCACATGCAAGTGGTCATAGTGGTGGTAGTTTATTGTTGAAGCATCGTGGTGTAATGGATAAAGGGCTAACCTAAGAGTCTGGCTTTGGAGTCTGATCGTCCTAGGTTAAAAGTCCCACCTCTGACTATTACTACCCATGTCAATGACCTTGGACAAGTCATTTAACCCTTCTGGGCCTCAGTTTCCTCATCTGTAAAATTAGGCAGTTAGTTGAGATAGACTCTGAAGTCATTTCCAGTTGTAAAGCCTATAATTCTAGGACCTTAGACAAATCACTTTCTCTTTATAATCTTTCATTTCCTCACAAGTAAAATGAAGGGATTTGGACAGATAGACCCTTCCAGCTATTGGTTCTACTAAGAGTGAGCCTTTGGTCAGCCTTTGATGCAGCCAGGCCTGGTGAGTTGGAGAGCTGGCATTTTCTGGGAAATTCCCCTCTGACTAGGCCAAAGACCAAAGAACATATCCTCTGTTAGCTAGTGTGTGGGAAAGCCCAGGACCACTGGTGAGATCTGAGCAGAGGGGAAATAAAACTTGAGGAATGCGGGGCTGGAGACTTTGCTGACGTCTTACCCAGGTATCTCCTCATTCTAATTATTTATTTTCAGTGTCCTAAAAAAGGTGCCTTCTAACTCTAACATTCTGTGATTCTAGCAATGCTATCCAGCCTGTCCCTGTTCCTTGTCCTCTGAAGCACATACACTGGTGTATGGTGCACACAGGATGTGGAAGATAAGTGAGATTTGGTATGTCTGGGAAACCTAGTTTTCAGTGGTCCCACCCAGTATAGGAAGAATCAAGATTCAGGTGAACTTCAGAGAGGGATGAGAAGCAGCTCAGTGACTGAAAAACAGGTTCTAGGTGAAAGCATAAGGTCAGAGCCAAGAATGAGCAGAGAGAATAATTGACATTCATATAGTGTTTCAAAGTTTGCAGAGTACAATATGGATATATATATATATATATATATGTATATATATATATATACATATATATGTATATATATACACACACACACACACACACACACACACACACACACACACATATAAACTCTCAATACCCACAATAACCCTATAAGATAGATACTACAAGTATTATCATTTCTATTTTACAGATAAAAGAACTGAGTTTCAGAGTGACTGGCCCAAGGTCACCAGAGTGACTGGCTACTAAGTCTCAGAGGTGGTATTTGAACCCAGGTCTTCCTGTCTCCACGTTTGACAAGTTTCTGTCAGGTTCACCATGCCAAGACCATCCCTCTCTTTTAATCCTCTCTTTTTACTATTAGGAGACACTGTTTTCCAGAGTTAAGGTCCAGCAAGTTTGGCATATCAACAATCCTTTGTGGCTACCCTCTGGATGATCTCAGCCACAGCAAAATCCCAGAATTGTTTTACACCAGCCCCAGGTGGTCTCTGAGCTCAGGCAAGCACCTGTAGCACATGTGTTCTGTTCATGAAGCCCTGCTATGAATCAAACTTGTTTCATTGTT